CCCACGTATATCTTTAACATGCTTATAACGACCACACTTTTAATAGAGAGAGTTGGTAAAATCAACCAGCTGTTTTCCTCTAACATCACTTTGCAAATCCCTGTGGTTCTGTTCTCCTAAGAGTTTAGGGCTATACTACCATCTAGGCTCATGAGTATGTTTTGAATGATCACTGATGTATAAACATTCCAGCTAAACACTATGAGCAAACAAATACCTACTCCTAAGTATTACTGTGTTCTTAGGTCTGTGCTAGGTCAGCTGAAGGAAAGTTCAGAACCAGACTGTTTCTGTCTCCAAAATAGATGTGTTCATTGGACTGCATATAAAAATGGCAAATTTCACACATGTGTGAAGATTAAAGATGGATAATGTTCTAATAAGAAATTATATTGGAAAACAGTGTTCCAGGTGTTTTTTTTTTTCTTTAAAGAGGTTACTCAGTGTGGAAAAAAATTACAAAAAGATTAATGTGATTAAGTTTCAACGTCAGAGATTTAGACAAAGCTTCCAAAATAGGAAACTAGATGAACAAAATTATGTATGCCATTTAGGTACTTTATAAGCTCAGATTATCAAGTGAAGCTTCAAAGCCCACATTCTTTCCCCAACACTACAGTAAGGGTAGATTTCTAGCAAGCAATGCTAATCAGGCTTTTGTCATTCTAGACATTGGGGGGGGTTAAATTCTGAGTTATTAAATTTTTTGCCTTGACACTAGGAGGCACTGCAGTTTTATAATCCATGTATATACTAAGAGGAAGGACCTTTAAATTATTGAAGTTCCCAACTTAAATTGCTGTAGTGTTGGGTAGAGTAGAGTCATATTCCTTAGAAGGGCTAACAAGTTTTGTTTTGTTTTGTGGCAAACTTAAAAAGCTTGCAATTTAGCTAACAAAGATTAGTTCTTACAGCATCCAAACTAATGTGCTCTGAAAGTGTCTTCAACTTAGGACAGTAATTGCTTTGCTAGTCTCCTTGCCTTGAAGTCAGAAATTGCCCTGTCATCTTCAGAGGTTTGTTGTTCTTCAATAAATCAACACACTAATATATATTAAGAAGAAAACTCAGGGAAGGTTAACACAAATTTCAAGCTAGTGATTCTCTAGGATGGAGTCAAAAAGGTGGGCCAGGGAAGAAACCCACAGCAGACATAGAAGTTAGCTGCTGATTTTATTAACATTTAAAACTATTCTTTGTAAAAGGTGTGTATGTTAATAAATATTCTCTGTGGTATCATTATTAAACTTCTAGAACTGGGGAAGGGGGCACACGGAATAAGGCCATCTAATTAAGAGAATCATAGCACAATTTTAATTTCTTATGGAGCAGTCTAATCAGTAAAATGCCTGAGTTTTGGGGTTCCCCAGCAACTCCTGAGGTGATGGCAAGTGCACACGAAAACCACCTTCCTTTCCCTGGTGCTGTCTGTTGGTTATCACTGGTCTTCATACTCAGTCCAACTCTGGGGTGTGCCTCTGAGCTTGCTGTAGGTGGTGCTTTAGTGAGCTAGAGTAATCAGCGGCTCTTTATACTGAGTTGCTTCTAACATAAATGGACTAGCTTAAATTGGGGGTTGGGGGGAAGCCCCTGCAAAATTTAGGAAGAGATGTGATTGTGACAGATTGTTACTGGATAGGGGGCCTGGCCCCAAGTGGGTCAGCCTAGGGTCAGCCAGTAGTGTGTGGGTTCTTGACTTCATGTAGGAAGATTTCATGAGTCCAGGTGACTGTGAGGGTACATTTCTTACAGCTGGGAAGAGTGAAATAAGGGAGGACTTAGCATAGAAGCAACAGGACTCACTGGGAAATCAGAAAAGGAGGCCTTGGAGATGGGATTAGCCTGGGATGGGCTGCTGCTGCCCATTGCTCCCCTGGTTACCAGTCTCATCTCATGGGGACCCTTAGAATTTAGGAGATACATGCCTGCAGGGAAAGGAGAGGGAGAATGGAATGGCATGTGTTGCTCCCCAGAGTAAGAGCTGGTGCTGGGTCCTTTGTCTTCAGGGTTGTATTTCTCTTGTAGGCAGGAGAGACCTCTCTTTAGGGGAGGTCTTGGGGAGGTTTCAGCAGGATATCATCAGTCTTCCAGGTGTGCTGTTTCAGGGTCATGGTCTCCAGTGATTGGTCACTTCAGGGCAGTTTATTAGTCATTGCAGCTGGTCCTGGCATTGCACACCTGTTTGCTGCTTTTCTGGTCCTGGAGTTGACCTGTATCTGTAAATTGCTTGGCCATCTTGTTAAGCTATCTTTCTGCTTTACTGTTCCAGTTGTCCTGGCTTACTAGCCTATCTCAAGATAATTTGTTTCTTATTCATGAGAAGTAGAAACTATTTTGAAACTACTGTTCTTTAATATGTAGCTATTTTCTTACTTGAAGAAATGTAGGATTGGTTATCAAAGCATAGGAAGATGGCTTTGCTTTTTCTACCAGCTGACTCAAACTTATTCTGGGTCAAATTGGAAAATCTCTGCCAGTAGACTGAGCCTCTGATTTAGCGTAAATCTATAGTTGCTTTACACAGCGGAGTTTCAATTTCTTAGGCAAGGAGCAGTGTCTTTGTATTATGTAGCAGCTGTTTGAAACAAGGTCCTTCTCACACACGGGTGTGAAGCCTGTTGCCACCCCCCACCCAAAGGACGCCTAACCCTTGTATGTTAATGGAGCCAGTCAAGGGAAGGGACTGTAACTTTTTAAGAACTTGTAACTGTGATTAATGTCAGTCAGGAATTCCCATCACCCTAGTTTACAAAGTGGCTGCCGGCAGAAATGTCATCTGCATAATTATCCTGGTTACAATGATTCTGTCTCCAACAAAGTAAGATTTCTACTTAGATCTTTTAGATCCATGATTAAATCTGAATTCTGCAAAAAGTAAAAAACTAAATTACAAACAATTCAGACTGCACTTCAGAGCATCCTGATTGATCCTTGAATTGTTTGGAAAATAGTTCCTGGACTAGATTCAATGGGTAGGTATTTTTAGGAGGAAATAGTTTTTCCACAGGTGCTATTCCACAGTGACCTTGGAAATAAGTATTCAAAGTAGAGTTAGGAAAACTACAAAATTTCTTTGTTAGACAGCAGTTCTTTTTTGTTGTTGTTACAGCAGTTCTGTGTAAGAACAAAAGATCTGAAAAGTACATTATTTGTATTTTACAAATTGAGATTTTATTCTTGAAAAACTGCTCAAACTTTGGTTGAGAACAGAGGAGAGTTCATGACCTTTTTGCCCGGGGCTGCTTTCATTCCATGGAATGGTCTCAAAAAACAGCAGCTTTCCTAACGGAGAGGAAGTGGCATCAATTTGGGGGGTAGGAGAAAGTCTGTGACTTTATCTACTGAAGGTGGCCAAGATGGAGGGAAATGAACTAGGAAAACCTGCAACTTTACTAACCTGATGTTGCAGTCCTAGTTTGGACAACCAGCAGATCAGTCAGATTTAACTGGGAGAACCTAAAAATGAGGAAACCGTAGAAAGGCAACATAAGTCTCCCCCACATAGCTTGCTGCTGGAGAGCTACCAACACTCGTGGGGGAGAACCAAGCAATCAGGGCAGTGACAGATTGCAAATGGGCAAAGGAACTTTCCGAGATGAGAGTAGTTTCCTAAAACTAGATTTGAGTTTGAATTGGAACATTTACAATGACTGAATTTTGTACCTCAATGGAGCTGTTTAAAAAGTATCTTTGCTTATTAGAAAAAAACTACCATTAGTAGAATCAGAAGACAAACTATTCCTATATATTTGTTTTATATTATCACAAAATAATACTCAACACTTACTGAAGACCATTTTTAAAGATTTTTTGGGACTTACTGATTTGAGTCCTGGCTGGTGTGGCTCAGTGGATTGAGCGCTGACCTGCAAACCCAGGGGTTGCTGGTTCAATTCCCAGTTGGGGCAGCTGGGTTGTAGGCCAAGTCCCCAGTAGGGGGCACTTGAGAGACAACCACACATTAATGCTTCTCTCCCTTCCTTCCCCTCTGTCTGAAAATAATTTAAAAAATATTTGATTTGAGAGAGAGATGTTTATTTGTTGTTCCACTTATTTATGCATTCATTGGTTGATTCCTGTGTGTACCCTGACCAGAGACAGTACTTACAACCTTGGCATATCAGGACAGTGCTCTAACCAACTGAACTACCCAGCCAGGACCTGAAGATCATTATTAACCAAATATGTACTTTACTAGTTATTCTAGGTAGGATATTGGCTATTACATAATTATATTTTTCTTTTTGTAAGATCTGATTGTTGTATTCAACCATTAAAATGATACATCGTCTTTTATGAAAGACTGTCCATTTTTAAAACTTTCTATACACCAGAATGAATTTCAGTAAATTACAAGTTGTTGAATTACTTTTTAGCTGTCAAGCGTAATAGATGATCAAAAACAAATAAGAGCTAATAGCTGTGGGAATTAATAAATGTAAAGCTGTCTCTATGGCTAATATTTCACCTTTTATTGAAGGTAGTCAGAATCAAATTAACCTCAGATCAGGTCTTTGTATCAGACACAACTCTGGATCCCTCTCCTTGCCACATGTACAGAAATGCCATTTGCTGGCAACTACTGAATGCAAATCCCTGACTGATTAAATTGCTTAGAACTTATGCTGTTTCAAGTTTCTTTCTCTCCTAAGAATGTAGAGCACAAATTGCTGTAGTTCAGATAGACAACTGACAGAGATGTCACTTAAGTAGAAGACATGGGATGTAGTTTTCCAAGCAGGTTCACCTTCTCCAGCGCAAACCTGATAGACAGGTGAGTGCCATCCATCATCAGTGAATGGGAAAGGAGGGATTCGCTGGAATGTTAGCAGTGTGCTTTTTGGTGGTTGTGTAAATCACAGTTTACATTCAATGTTGTTTTGTATTAGTTTCAGGTGTATAGCACAGTGGCTGATCACACACTTCACGAAGTGCTCCCCCTGACAAGAAAATGAGTGTATTTTTTAATGAATGTATATTTTTAAAGAAGTTGAAACCAGTAAAATTTCACATTCACTTTATTGATTGCTGGCGTCCAGTCTCCGATGCACCTTCCAGCCTTCTCTGATGCTGCCTTTCTGATGCTTTTCGACGGTAGACGTCATCTGTATGCAACAAAAATTTACTTAGATTTTTAAGAAACTGAGGAATTAAAAATACTCAGAGCTGAGTAATTTAACCAATAGTCTAGGTCAGTCACTCTATTTGAATCTCAGTGGTAATGTTTAATTCAATAAACAGTTTAAAACGTGAGTTAAATAAGGCTGTTAATGGAGTTCTGGACTGCAATAGCAGGTGAGAGTCTTCAAAAATAGGATCATGTCCTAGCACATCTCTTGGCAATGTTTTAAGATTTTAAGGCTTCTCTTACCTCCTTATCCCCCACAATTTCTATTCTGAAATCATCCTTCCTAACTGAAACCTGGAGCTTAAAGGCACTTCCTGATCCGTGGCTCTCCACTGCTCCCTGCCCCACACCTGGGAACTCACAGTAGGGAGCTGAGGGCCGGTTCCTTGTTCTCTGCTGCTGCTTTTCCAGACTGCTGATTTGCCATTCTCCTCCTCTGGGGCTTATGCCATTTGCCATCTTCTCTGCACTGGCACCTGCTCTCCATCACTCCCTTTCAATCACTGAAAAGAGCATCTAGCTCAGGCTCCTTGACCCTGTCCTGTGCCACTGTCCCAGGCATCACCACCTCCCACAGGGATAGAGCACTAGCATCCTTCACCTCCCTGCCTCCTCCACACAACTTCCGCCACCCCCTGGGGGTCTGCCTCTGAAGTAATAGGTTCAATCTGCTCTGACCACACCCTCTAGTACCTTTCTAGCCCTCTGTCTTGGACCTTTACCAACTTCTTCCCCAGGCCTTGAGGACCCCCTAAGCCCCCTCTCCTCCTCTTCCTGCCCAAACCAGCTGAAATTCCCTCTCTGATCAATGTCAGCTTCTTGACACACCTTCAAAACCCCAACTACAGAATAACCTAACTTCCTTTTCCAAGCCTCACTGTTTTGCTTTGCACTGTGGGGCCAATGATGTGTCTGACTGGGTCCACTATGATACCAGACCATCCTGTTTCCTCTGCCCGGACCCTGACCCTTTCTTAACCACCCCCAAATGGCCATGAACCCTTACCTCCAGAGAAAAATCATCAGAAAAGTACTCTCCCGGCTAACTGCCAAGGGCTATTACGATTGCCATCCTCTGATCCCATTCTTTCCCATGCTCCCAAGGGCCAAGGTATGTCCAGCCTCCCTCCACCCTCTCTTTCCTGATCAGATTTGCCTATCTTCAAGTCTCTCCCCTGGTAGGGGAGAGGGGACTTACCTCCCATCTGCAGTCAGCTTTCTGAAATGCCTGTCTTCTGAGATAAACCCTCCTGGTTCCCCGGCTTGCCTCTCTCGATCACCCTTAAAATGCTGGGGTTTGACTGACTTTCATCCTCGTCTGCTTGTGAATGACCCACAAACCCAAATCTGTGGCCCAAATCTGCCTCCTCAGCTTCAGATCTGTATAATCGTCTCCACGTGCAAACCATCTGATCAGCACATCCAAATGGAGCCCGGGATGGTCCTACCCGTGTTTCCCCTGCCCCAGCTATCCTACCACTTGAAGCCTCCAATCCTTGTCTCCTGAGTCCACTCCATCACTGAGCCCTCCCTGTCAGGACGACCTCTTGGGTGTCTCTCAGCTCCATTGTTTCTTGGCATCCCTTCTGTCCCCACCAAAGACCAGGCCACCATCTCAAACCTGAGCAAACACACAGCCTGTGTTCCTGCTGGTCTCCTCTCCACGAGAAGCCATTCCCTACCTGTGTTAATCCACTGCCGCTTAAAACCTTTCAGTCCTTTGGGATTCATCCTCGGTTCTCCATTCTCTTTTGGACCTGCCCAGGCACCTTTCTAACCACTTCATCCCTCCCTCTGCTCACCTGTTTCAGCCCCTCAGACAGCAGCATACTTTCACACCCATGCCCCCATGTCTGCTCTTACCACTGGCATGAGGCACTTTCAACTTCACAAACATTCCCCTCATCTGACTGACACCACTCAATCTTCAGGGCCTACCTGACATGGTCACTCCTGGAAGCCTTCCCTGCACCATCTAGTCCAATTGAAGTGCCTCACCCAAGACTCCCACGTTCCCCCCACTTTCTCCTCAGAGCAACGGCCACACTCAATAGTAACTGTCTTCATGATCTGTCTCTCCTGTTAAGAGTTCTGGAGTGGAGGACCCTCTGCCTTGTTCATTATATCCTCTCATCAGTGCTCATTAAAAATTGATAAATGGATGAGCCTGGCGGGTGTGGCTCAGTGGATTGAGAGCCAGCCTGCAAACCAAAAGGTCGCTGGTTTGATTCCCTGTCAGGCCACACACATGCCTGGGTTGCAGGCCAGGTCCCCAGTTGGGGCATACAAGACAACCGGTTGATGTATATCTCATGATCAATGTTTCTCTCACACATTGATGTTTTTCTCCCTCTCTACCTACCTTCCTCTCTCTTTAAAAATAAAATCTTTGTAAAAGTTGATGACTGGATGGAGAGAAGGAATAAATATCTAAAGAGAGCACTAAGATAACTTTTTAAATGAGGGTTGGTAATTCACAAGTGATAGTGTTTCTGGAGGGACAAAGGCAGAAAGGGTCTAGGGGTTGGGGAAGTCTTCCCAGAAGACAAACTAGCCTGTCCAGAGCTAGTGCTCAGCAAAGCAATGTCAGGCATTCTGTTCACAGTGCTGGGCCCTGGTGCCAATGACTCTGCCTGTAAAGACTGTAGTAACTGGCTAAGTCAGGCAGACCAGCCCCCTCCAAGGGTTTGGACTGAAGAGTCCCAACAGGGAACTAGCCAGTTAACAGGAGTTTCCATGAATCCTCGGGATCCCACCCGCTTCTACCCTGCTGTGAGCAAGTCTGTTCCTTAGGCCCAATGTCCCCGGCAAGCTTGAGAGGAGCATGTCCTGAGTGAAGTCACTTGCCCTCCCCTCAACGTGTAGACAAGGTCTCAAGGTTGGACACCAAAGTGCCTTTGTTGCCCCGCCTACAAGAGAGCCCGGTAGGGCTTCAAGGGCCCGCCCAGTGAACAGAACCGCATTTGCCCTGCTGACCAGGTTGAAAGCAGTTCAGCGCTCTGAGTGGAATGAGTGGTCTGCAACTAGGAACGAGTGTCTGCCAGGAAAATAGGTCTTATGCCGCCTCTTGCCTTCCTGCAATGAAATGAGGCTGCTGCATCCCTACTTACAGAAGGTCTCCTGGCCCACGCGCACTTTAATCATGATCCACTCCATCGTTCCTCCCAGGACAAAAAAGAAGGGCAGAAACCTGTAGACGCCGAATCGCTGCTTTCCGGGCACCCGCTGCAAAATCCGCCTCACCTGGGCCCTGGAAAACATGCCCGACCGAGGTCGAGGAAAGGAGTCCGGCAGAACTAGGAACAACGGGAGCTGCCTCGGCTCCAGGACTGAGGCGCCCGGGTGGAGCCGAGACGTCCTGCCCGTCCTAGCCCAGCCCGGCGGTGGGACTTGCAGAGCGTTCGCCGACCTGCCAAAACGCCAGCGGGAAAGAGCTTCACAAGCAGCTAGCAGCTAGAGTGGCTCCACCAATCAGATCACGGTAGGGCATTAGGATTCGCCAGTAGCCAGCGGTGGAATGCGCGTGCTCTGTGAGACCCAGCCCGGCTTAGCTCGCGCACGCGCCTGGGCTGTGGAGGCCGGGCGGTGCAAGGGGGCGGGGCACCGACGTGGCGTTGCCCCGCGGGGTACCGTTGTCCGCCCCCTGTGCTGTTAGTTGCCGCGAGTTGGAAGCGGCCCCCCTTGCTCCGCCACCGCCATCTTTTTTCTTTAAGTCCCTCTAGAAGTGAGGGCCCTCTCCGATGGACTAAACCTGCACTGCACTATAATATAAACTGCAATTACGCAACTCCTTGTAGTTTTTTGAGGTCTTATTTCTAAAAATAAGAATTTGATATGCCATGTTGAAAGCTGAACCTTACCATTTTTACAACAAAAGTCTAGGTAAGCATCTGGAGACAACCCTAAAATTAATGTAAGGTATCCTGTATGGGGCACTTACCGTTATGCAAGGACTTGTACATGCTTTTTATGCATCATCTCATTCAATAATCACAAGAGCAGAATGATTTAAGAACGTGGCTCTTACCAAACCATATCCCTCCTCCACATATATTCCCTTAGTCTGTGCCTCAATTGCTACACAATATGGGGACCTTCCTGTGATACTGTTAGGATTTAGAGATAATAAAAATAAAGCACTTGACACAATGTCTGAACCATAGTAACTAATCAATTAAGATTAGCTGTAGCCCTGGCTGCTGTGGTTCAGTTAGTTGGAGCATTGGCCCATAACTGAAAGGCTACAGGTTCCATTCAATTCTGGTCACGACATATACCTAGGTTGCTGTTTTGAGCCCTGGTCAGGTGTTTATGATACCTGGTACCCACGCACCAACGCACACAGGAGGCAACCGATCCATGCTTCTCTCTTTCCCATCCTCTCTAAAAGCATTGAAAAAAATGTCCTCGAGTGAGGATTTTTTTAAAGGTCTAGCCATAATATGATGATGATGATGTATTGAGCCCTAGCTCTTTATATGTATTCCATAGCTTACTGAACCTTGCCTCTTTTTCATCATCTCCTTTTCTAATTAGAGAAGCTGAGATTAAGCCAGGTAGAAGCAGAAATCTCACTTGAGAGCCTTTGCTTTTGCTGAGTTGTGCTTGCTGATGTCTTTAATGGGCTGTCACCCCATTGCCTATGAGAAGGAAGACAACTATTAGACAATCTAAGAAAATCAAACTAAGAACCAATAAGAGTTTGACGACATGGACACAAAATCTACAAAAATAAGCTGGAAAATAATAGTGTAAGTATGGCCTTGGGAAATGGTCGTAGAGTCTGCAGCTGAGCAGCCCTGCCTGAGATGCTGCTCTGATAACCTGCCTCCTTGGAGGCCATCACATCCAACCCATTCACACACATCCATTTAGTGATCATTCCCATCTCTCTTGGTGACTTTGGGGGCCAGATACCACAATGCCCATCTCCTGCCCAGTTGAATTTTACGTATGGCTAGTTCCCCAGTTCCCACCTAGCTCAGGCCTTCAGGTAGACACATCCACCCACCCACCCACGGGCCCACCTTTGGGTTTCCACCCTGCATCAGCACCTGGCCCAGGGTTTTGCACATTGTAGGTCTTCATCCAGGGTACAGTGGATACTCCAATGTCCCATACCCTTAGGAAACAAAGTGTCCAGATGGCCAGCTCCCCATTAACAGGGCCCATCCGGGTTGATTAGGCCTCAGGGCCCAGTGGATGAACTGATACACATGCAGACTCAGAAAACGGATCTGAATAGAAGAAACAAAGGTGGAGAGTGGTTTAAAGCGTGAAAGACAAGTTTCGTTGGAAACTCTAGCGACGTTGCTTGAAGAGACGAAGGATGTCAAGAGAGGACCTGCAGGAGGAAGCCAAGATTGGGGCGAGTCGGTGCAGCCATTTGCTAAGGCCGGAACCTGGCAGGCTCATTGCCTCCTGACCCACCGCCCTAGAGCGCAAAGCCTAGTCTTCAGGCGCGGAGTTAAAACGGGTCATCTGGGTGAAGTACAGGGCGGAGACTGCCTCAGGGTCGCCGGTGCTGCGGGTCTCACCTCACGTGAGATGGCACCTGGGAGCGTGCAGTAAGGGCTCTTTATTCGCTGACCGCGTGGAATGGATCAGCTTCTGGTCTGCGGGCAGAGCTAGTCAGGGGCCGGAGGAGGGGAAAAGGACCCCACAGCATAGCTGGGGGAGGGGCGGAGGAGCTAAGGTCAGGAGGACTAGAGGTGGAGGAGGGGCGGAAAGACCCGGGCAAGGACGGGAAGAAAGTGGAATGGGGGCCGGGGTGAGCCCGCAGCGCCTCAGCCGTCTGGACCCTCGCCGGGACGGCCGTTCTTACACCCTCCGACCTCCCGGGAGCGGGACAGAAGGAGTCTCCATCGCCACCGTGGCGAGTAAAGGGGGCGCAGAGGACTCCGCCGAGAAGACTCGGGGGAGGGGGGAGCTGGGGAGCCCGTTCAGCCCAGTCTCGGGACCTCCCGCCCCCCCGGGCCAAGGGGCGCGCCCATTGGCCGACCGGGCTCCGCGCGCCGCGCCCATTGGCTAGCCGTGGTGAAGAGCACGCGGCCACCGTGGCGGGCTTGCAGTCGGAGGGTGGTGGACGGGCTGACCGGCCGAGGGCTCGGCGGGCGGCGCGCGGGCATGGTGGGTGCGGGGCTGCGGGCGGCCGCTCGGCGCTGGCTGCCGAGCCCAGGCCACGGTGGGCCGCGAGCCGCCTCGTCCTCGTCCTCCTGCTCTGGCTGCGGCCCCCCAGGTCCCGGCGCCCACTGCCCGGGCGCTCCACGCTCTGCGCCCGCCCTGGCACCCGCCTGTGGCGCCGAGCTCAGCTCGCACCTGTGGGCTCGTTACCAAGACATGCGGAGACTGGTGCACGGTGGGTGAGCCCGAGTGGGGCGGGCTCCGGGGGGGGAGGTGTCCCGCAAGGCAACCGACGCGCGCCCAGACGGTGGACAGAGACCTAGCGCCAGGGCACCGCCCCCGAGCGGTCCGGGTGCCGCTCTTCGGGGGTAGCGCCCCAGTGGGTCTCGCTGAGGCTCCGAAGGCCAGACGGCTCTCCGGGGGAGATTCCTTTGGATTATGAGCGGGAGGCCTCTGGGGACGCCCCGACGCCCGGAGCAGGAGAACGGGTGGTTTGTTCCCTGGCTCCGTCTACAGGAGCTGGGGGTTCCTGAAGCAGACGCCAGAATATGGGGCTCCCGCTGTCTTTCCTCGGGGTCTGGATCTCCGTGAAGTCGCGGTGGAAACGCCCCCAACCCCTTGTTCTCCTAGAGACCCTTAATTGGTGTGGTAATAATCAGGGACAAAGCTAGCTAGAAGCACTGGCCAGAACAGACCCCTGAGGACTGGCCTACGTTGGAGGACTCCGACTAGATTTCCAAGACACCTCTCGATTACTAAGCCCTGGAGGCAAGGAGCACTCCGACCTAGAGGGGAAGGAAAAGGGAGACCAAATAGCTCCAGCCCAGAAGGATTGCTGCATCCTTGGCCAGGGCATTCACTAAACCTCTTATAGCCTCTTTCCGTCTGCAAAATGGGCTGAGGAGGCCTAAAGCCTCCTCTCAGAGGGGCCAGGCTGAGGCAGAAGTATCTGCAGAAAACAGATGTGGTTGGGTCTTGGCCCTATCACTCTCCAGCTTGGTGTAGTGTCCAGCAAACCACACCTCAGACCCTCAGTGTGTTAGGGCAGCGATTTTCAACTGGCGCTCTGCAAGAATTTTTAAAGTATTTAATACCTGACTATTTAGTCTTGGGCACTGACCCCCTTTCCTTTAGATTGTCAAATTAAATGACAATAGCCATCTAGTGTCAATGAATCAAAATTGTACTTTTTTTTGAATTGATCAACAAAATTATTTTTTGGTGTGCCACAGAATTTTAGTAATTAGCTTATGTGTGCTGTGAGACAAAAAAAAAAAAGGTTGAAAATTGCTGCCGTAGAGTGTAAGACACGATCCTGGGGCTTCTGCTACAGGGTTGTGGAGATGACTCAGAAATACCCAGGCCTAGGAGGGTCAGAGGAGCTTGGGGGGGGGGGGAGTAACAGCTTTCATTGATGAGACAAAGTAGCCGGCTGGTCTGCAGTATCCGAGTGGACTGAACTGGAAACTCCATGCTAACTGTAGAAACCTGGGACTGGGAGGTGGACTGGACTTACCTCTTGAGGCTCTGAAGGCAAAATGGTTAAGACGCCTGAGGAATGATGATTTTGAAGCCTATGGGCCTCTGTCAGGATGTCACCACCTCACCCTCAGCAGAAAGGGTAGGCCTGGGATGCTGTTTAAGGAGATGTCTTTGCTTTGGACCTGGTTAAGACCCTCTGTGGAGCAGCTTGAGAAGCCTACCTAGTAGGTGTTGGGGGGAGGGATCTAGTGAGTTCTATTGGGCTTTCTCTCTCAGGGCCCACGTGGGTCTTCAGATATTCAAGAAGCCCCCCAAGCTCCTCTTGATGTGAAAAGGTCAAGGTCGTTTCCAGAATGCCAGGGTGAGTTCCAGAATGAGCCATCCTTCCTGGACCCTCTAACCCCAGCCAGCCTAACTCCTGTTCTGAAGGGAGGAGTGGGATTCTGGGCATTAAGGTGTGCTTTGAGCTAACACCTTTAGGCAAAACTTTGCTAGGGAAACAGGCCTTAAGCCAGCCCCTACCTGCCCCTCAGCAGAAGACTAGACTGAAAGACAAGTGGGGTGACCGAATTAAAATCTCACCTCCACTGCCTACTGTTGGATGGTTTGGAGCAAGTGACTTTACCTCCCTGAGCCCCAGTTTCTTCCTCTGTATGATAGAGGAGTAAGTGTGACCACTTCACAGGACTGGAGTAAGGACTGAACAAGATGAGCCTCTTAGGCACCTAGCAGCAGCTAGGAGGGTGGCACCCTCAAGTCAGCCTCATGGCTGTCATGGGAGGGGTTGGCCTTGGTTGCTGAAACTGGGGGCTAAGGAGGAGAAAGGAGGAGCGGGGGCTGGGCATTGAGACCAGTGA